TAGCAATACAACACCACCATTACAAACCAAGAACCAACAAGGTATAACCAAAGCATTCTACCCCTTACTTTGTTTCTCTTCAACTGTTCTTCTTAACAGGTAACACGATGCAACAAATCGGGTATAATTTGGCATGATTGGTTACACATCGAGGGGTCGAATCATAGAAAGTAACCACATGGACCACCAACCTATGAGTTTATAATTGATAACAAATTAGAAAATCACACAATACATAGAGAAATATACTGCCATTTTGACTTCAGTTTGTTGTAAAAAAAAAACAATTGGTTCAATTTTTAACAAAAAAATAGAAATTTTAAATACAAAAATCACATATAATATCAACAAATATTTCAAGAATATGGATCTGTACTTGATCAGCTGATTGAAAACCAAAAATCTTATGAACAAAAACGGAAATAAAAGAACTTTTATGGGAAACTTAATCAACGAATTACCCCATGTTTTGCGCAACTGATAAACTTTCTTATAGGGTTTAAATTTGACCAAGAGGTCTTCGTTACAGCGCTCCTGCCACAATAACATAATGCTTGCATTTTCCCCTTTTCTTCCACCTCCCAATTTATGTCTGTTATTCTTGCCCTAGTCCAATAGCAATAACAATTAGGTTTAGCGTTTTAGGTCTTAAGTGTATAAGGCAACCATTGTGCAATATTTGAGGGCCAAAATGGTTGTTTTACAACCTTACCCTTCTATGTTATCACGTGTTTTGCATGTGATCAAAAGCAGACGGTAAACTCAACGGCAGTTAGTTGTTGGACCTAATTGCTACCTTTTATTTCTTTCAGGGTGCAATATGAGAATTTTTATCTATGAGGGTACAAAGTGAAAATTTAGCAATCTTTCAGGGTACAAAGTGAAATTTTCCCTTATTTGTGCATAATCATTTTCACATATGGGATTAGCTTTATTGTTCTTTAGTTTAACACTAGCATCATAAGTGTAGAAATTGACTTATGATCCAAATGATTAAACTTTCTAAGCATCTTATCCACATATTGTCCTTGAGATAAATCAAACCATTAGGAGTTCTCAAAATCTTAATTCCTAAAATCATATTTGTCTCTCCCAGATCTTCCATGTTCAATTTAGACATCAAGAACCTTTTACTATTAGTAAAAACCTTTAGACTTATGTCCATTATTAGCGTATCATCAATGTACAAGTAAATAATAACACTAGAATTACCACAAACTTATAATATATGCATTTATCAACATTAATTGAAAGCCATTTGACACTAACACACTATCAAGTTTCTTGTGCCATTGTTTTGGTGCTTGCTTTAAACCATATAATGATTTAATTAACCTATATACTAAGTGTTCCTTACCTAGTACAATAGATCCTTCCGATTATTCCATATAAATTTTCTCTTCGAAGTCTCCATTCAAGAACACCGTTTTCACATCCATTTGATGAATTGCTAACCTTATACATAGAAGTTATAACAATTAAAATTCTAATAGATGCTATTCTTGTAACCGGTGAATAAATATCAAAATAATCAACATCTTTCCTTTTGCTTATAACATTTGGCGAATAATTGGGCTTTGTATTTATCAATTGTGCCATAAGTTTTAATTTCCTTTTAAAAATCCGTTGCACCCAATAGGTTTTGCACCAAGACGTAATTCTATTAATTTTCACGTATGATTAGGAATGATAGTCTAACTTGTCTTTAATCACTTCTTTCTAAAAAGGGGCATCGTGTGATGTAATAGCTTCCTCATATGTTTGTGGGTCATTATCAATTAAAAATTAAAAAAAGACCAATATCCTAAGTTAGTCTCTTTCCTTACTTTTTTACTCTTTTTATGTTCATGTACTTTTTCACTAGAAAGATCATCTTTGAGTTCATTACTGATAGGAATTAATTTTCTTTTATTTGATAACCTATTTTTCATTGAAAAAATATTTTCAAAAAATCTAGGATTTTTTGCCTCAATAATTGTGATAGGTTCAAAAATATTATGCCCATTTCTAAGCACTAGAAACCTATTTGTAGCAATGTTACTCGAATAGCCTATAAAAAACATAGTTTGAAGTTTTAGAACTCAATTTTATGTTCTTTGGTTTCAAAGAGTAGATTGAATCACTTCATTGAGGCGCTTGCCTCTTCACCTGGGTTGCGCCTCTTTGAAGTTCATTTCGCCTCTTTGAAGTTCACTTCACTTGGACTCTTCTAGGTGACCTATGCTTGCTTGGGGTCACTTTTCACCTAGGCGTGCTTTTCAAAATATGGCACGGGTCGGGGGTTGACATGGTGGACACAGATGCAAATGTGACACGATTGGACAAATATCTAACACTTCTAAAAGTGTGCTAAACAAGGGTTAAATATGACAAGGATACATGGTGGATATGACAAGGACACGTATGAGACACTTTATGGATACGATGGGGGTGGGTTTATTATTTTAAAAAGTTAAGAAGGCTGAAAAAAAAAAGCACAGTCTTTTATATTGGGCACAAAAGAAAACTTTGTTGGGGGACAAACTCTTCTCAATTGGGTAAATTATACCAATAGTCCTTAAAATGTATCACTTGTTAAACTTTAGTCTTTAATATTTTAATTTTGTTAATCTAGTTCTCAAAGTTGACACATTTGACCGATGATACTTTACACTAATTTTTGTTTAAATCATGCATGGAATAATTTAATGTGCCTTACATGTGATTGCAATTATGAGTAATTTTGTCATTATTAAAATACTCTCCATAACAAAACACTTTTATTTCTCTTTTAAACAACTTGAAACATTAACCCAACATAATAGTGCTTAAATCGGGCCAACTCACTCATTAGATCGTATTTACGCGGGAACCGATTAAAACCCGGTGAACCGTTTAGTCGGATGATTTTAAGCAAACCAGCCGGAGGGTTTAGTCTGCCTTTTTGTGACTATCGACGATCTTCTCAGCCCAGTCAACCTGAGTGACTCTGTCTCTGTCTCTGTCTCTGAGTTTCAGTGTCTCAGTCTCAGTTCTCTCTCTGCGCCGTTGCGAGCAAGCAAGGGACGAAGGCTGCTTCAAAGCTCCATCTCATCAACTGATCGAAGCATCGATGACCATTGACAGCAGCAGGTACACTACTTGCTCTCTCTCTCTCTCTCTCTCTCTCTCTCTCTCTCTAACATGTACATGCCCTAATCTGCTATATTTGGTTTTTGATTTTTGATTTTTGATTTTTATACATTGAATCTTTGATAATGCTATGAGCAAACATGCAATTATAAGTAGTTNCCTTTAATATTTTAATTTTGTTAATCTAGTTCTCAAAGTTGACACATTTGACCGATGATACTTTACACTAATTTTTGTTGAAATCATGCATGGAATAATTTAATGTGCCTTACATGTGATTGCAATTATGAGTAATTTTGTCATTATTAAAATACTCTCCATAACAAAACACTTTTATTTCTCTTTTAAACAACTTGAAACATTAACCCAACATAATAGTGCTTAAATCGGGCCAACTCACTCATTAGATCGTATTTACGCGGGAACCGATTAAAACCCGGTGAACCGTTTAGTCGGATGATTTTAAGCAAACCAGCCGGAGGGTTTAGTCTGCCTTTTTGTGACTATCGACGATCTTCTCAGCCCAGTCAACCTGAGTGACTCTGTCTCTGTCTCTGTCTCTGAGTTTCAGTGTCTCAGTCTCAGTTCTCTCTCTGCGCCGTTGCGAGCAAGCAAGGGCCGAAGGCTGCTTCAAAGCTCCATCTCATCAACTGATCGAAGCATCGATGACCATTGACAGCAGCAGGTACACTACGTGCTCTCTCTCTCTCTCTCTCTCTCTCTCTCTCTCTCTAACATGTACATGCCCTAATCTGCTATATTTGGTTTTTGATTTTTGATTTTTGATTTTTGATTTTTGATTTTTGATTTTTGATTTTTATACATTGAATCTTTGATAATGCTATGAGCAAACATGCAATTATAAGTAGTTAAGTACATAGAATCAAGTTGCTTATGGTTTATAGAATCAAGGTACTCTCTAAAATGTTGCTTATGGTTTATTTTGCATTATTTACAACCAATGAGTAGATTAGGGCAATTTTATTTTGCATATTGTTTTTAGATTGCTTATGGTTTATTTACTACCTGTGATTACAGTTTATTTTGCTTTTTATAGTTAAGAGCATTAATTTGAGGATTCTTGTTTGTTGTTCATTATAACATAATTGGGTTGTAAATTATTTATTTTATAATCGTGGTAGTAGGCAGTGGTTAGGTAATTTATTTTGAGTTTTATTTATTTGAGTCCTTATGCTATGCTCATGTGCTTCGTTTTGTTTTCATGTGTCTTGTGCTTACTACAGTTTGAGTTTGAACTTTGTTGAAGGGTGCAAATTACATGGATTCTGCATGGATTGATGCATAGTCGGAGTCTTGGAATTGGGGTCTAGAACTTAAATGGAGGTATTTTTCTCTACTTAACTTTATAAGTTGTATTGGAAATTGAATGCATTGGAATTTGGAATTTTGGATACATGTTTGGTGATTTTTCTCTACTTAACTTTATATGTTTGATGCTATTTTTATAATTATTGTGATTTTTAGCTTATTTATTATAATTTATATTATTTTTTATTTTTTATTATATTGCCGGTCCGATCAGTGATCTAACGGTTAAACCAGTGCCCCATTGATCTAATCCTTTTGTGGGTTGATGTCTGGGCTGGGTTTTAAAATAGGGGCCTTTGGAGGCTGGCAGTTTTTGTAGACTTATTTGGACTTAAGTATACTCAAAAAACTTGTTTGGGGATAAGTCCATTTTGATCTCCATTGTCCAAAAGACTCTTAATAGTTATATATTTAATCAAAACTTATTTGAAAAAACTAACAACTCATAAATTGAGAATTGTATTAGTATTAACAACTCCTAACTTGAAAAATGTGCTAGCACTAAAATTATGTTTCTATCACACACACATATATATATATAAAGTGGCTCAAAAACTTCATGCCCAGGCAAATTGAGGTGTACTTAAAGCATCAACTAATGTAACAAACTTCACTATGACTGTATGTACCATCAAGTCAGATCAGTTAAATATGCAATCCACAAGAAAATGGTATGGGTAAATAGTACCAATTTAAAACCAAGAGAAAATCTTTAAACAATATGCTGTTTTTTTCCTCCAGAAGCATTCTTTTGTGAATGGGCAGAGATGAATTAGCCTTTCATGAAAACTCAACCGAAAAAAACTTTAAATCACTTACCCAACAAAACAGCAACTTCTGCTTCATATCTCCTAACAAGTAATCAACCACACTATCAATATTTTTCCTGCATTTCATATGTAACCCACACACTCAGCGGTTATAAAATCATGAAACAAACAGGCAGGAATCAGGAAAATTACAGAGTACAAGTTATTTCTAGGACCTAATTCAACATGGCAGGAAAAACAAAGGAAAAGTCACACTCATAGATTGAATATTACTTAGTTCTTGAAGACCAGATGCCCACATCAAATCTGTCAAAGCAAAACTTCAAGAAATCAAAACAGAACGGTCTCTTGAAAACTGTAACAGGAAACAATGATTAGGTTAGGCTTGAGCCATTAATTATTCCCGCCTATCGCTAAATGCTGTTTAATCGTCAATTGCAACAAATAAAATGTAATATCCAATTCTCACTTGCCCTCCTTGAGATATAAATGTCTGCTTTAAACTCCTTTGGTGGGGGAGAAACTATATCCGCAAGCACTCCATTTACATCAAGAATGAGAAGTTTTCTCCCTGAACAAACTACTAAGGCTCTCTGAGGTGTAGCATGTGGAACCTTCACCAAGTTGTCCGCTTGGCTAGCAACAACTAAAGAAACATGGTTGATTACATCCGAATCGAAAGAGGGATGTTTCCCGTTTCTTTGGCTTCCAGGTTGGGTGTTTTTACCCGAAATGAAAGATCCTTCTACTGCTTGCTGCAACTTATTTTCACGCTTCTTGTTTTCTTCTGCCATATGCTTCATAGAAGGATCACAGATGGATGTTGAGTCATCATGTTGTCCATCCTGAGAAAATGGTTTCACGGTTTTTTTCCTCACACTCTTTATCAATCTGTGCCTTTCTTCTGAAAAATTCAGTAAAACATATGTTAATAGAAACATCATCAGTGGCTTAGACTTCCTATCTGGACTTTCATCATAGCCTTTCAACAGCAGGTCAAAAGGCGGTGTGATTACTTTACATAACTCTAATGAATTTTTCCTATTTCTTGTACCAAATCTGATGACGAAGCAACAGATTATTATACCTTTGATGTGTTTTTGTTTGGGTCCTTCTCTTGCATGAAACCCAAATTCTTGAGCTGGACTCTGAACTTTATTACACCTATCATCGCTTCCCTGTCCGTTTTGTTTATCAGACAGGCTCAGAGTCGACATCATGTCTTTTTGACTCTTGCTTTGCAGGCCATCTTCACTATTAGCCTTCCATTCAAGAATATTTATACAGAGAGATACATAAGACAAAAAATTAGAGGTAGTAATTCAAAAGAATAAGGGCAAAGGAATGAGGTACGAACGAACACCAACTCTTAAACAACATAAAAATTGACAGAACACAACATCATGGAATTTAGGGCTAAATTAAGCAGAGAAATATGTATGAAATGTTCTGCCCACTGATTATGAGATTAAATTTTCCCCTTTATACTTGGTAGATTCTAGAATTCCCTAAACTGGCTTCTGATGGTATCAGTCCAAAGTGATATAAATTCTTTGGTGTGAAATCTCAGGGGACATTAATCCTCAAGTGTAAAGCAGCATAAACTGTACTCCATGTCACTACCAACGTCATAAAGACAAAGCACTAATGTTAAAAATGGCAGCACAACCAAGTAATTAATAGTCACAGATACTTTTTTTAGGTAAGTTAAGAGATCTAATATACCAATAGTCACATATATAGTCCTCTATCGTTCTTGTCAAAGTTCAGAGTTTTATGGAAGTATTCATCTAGCTAGATATGCAACAGTTGTCAGGGAAAACAATGTTCTTCTTTATGTTTCAAACAAATAGGTTTTCTTTTTGCAACTAATTCATTGTGATCTTCAGGAATAGGCTAGCATTGGTCTGAGTAGCAACGACACTTAGAGAGAGGAGACAGGTCTATAGGGGACACGTGCCAAACGGTGACACCTATAAGACACTCCTAGGAACATGTCCAACACTATATATCCAATATTAGAAATAAATTCAGACACTTTGTGCTAATACATCTCAAACATTTAATAGGCAGTGCTTCTAAGTCTACAAAGACAATTTGACATTATACGTATAGAACAATCTTGACTCGTTTCAGATGCCCTTCATATTATTAAAAACGCAAGACTTAAAAATTTTTAAGTTATGACATGTTGAGTAGAGCTGAGACACTAAGAAATTCGTCAACAAAGTCTCTATCAGTTCATAAAACAGACACCAACAAAAGCAATTACTAAAATTGTAAAGTTCATACCATCAGATCCTACATAATTAAAATTTTAGATTGTGGCACCTTGAATTGAGCCGAGATTCAAAGACGATTCTATATCGTTAAAAATAAGACTAGATATATGTATATGAACTCTTGGGCACCCATACAAATGGGTTCATAGCAGATTTAAGGAAATTCCTCCACAGAGTATCTATCAATTATAGAAAAACGACAACCACAAATACAATTATATCAACATCAAATCTTTTAGAAAAACAATCAACAAAAGGAGAAATTAACCAACTTCCCATCACATGAAGAACAAACAGATGAACATATATAAGATCCAGAAAACAAATAATCTGCACCATAAACCCCCCATTACACCAAAAATCTAACAAATAGAAACCCAAAAAAAATGAAAATTTGGATATAAAATAATGAAACAGTCAAGTATACAAAGAAAGATTCTGATAGCTGACAGCAGACAAAAGAAAAGAAGGATCTGAATCAGAGGAAGTCAACATACTGGTAAACTCATGTCTTCAAACGTAAGGTTTTTGCTGATTGTTCAGATTTATTGAGCTACGAACCAATAAAATTTCTCAGATTTAGTCGATGTGTCTTACATTGGCTTCGTCGAACATGGAGCAGAACATCATATTTAGATGCGGAGAGGAGGGAGAGAGAGTCGTCTTACAGTACTTACCATGGACCCTGCTTGCTTGCCTGTTGATGTTACTATTGCGAGACGTCTGTTTTTGACTAACAAAGCCAAATGAAAGTACGAGGAAGGATACAAACAGACTAGGTACAATCGGTTGTGATGTACAGAGGTCGTGGATCCAATCGAAAGTACCCAGTAGTTGAAGTGTTCCGAATTTGGGGAGTCATCTGGTAAAATTACCAATACAGCCTTGTCCCCCTAGCCTCACCCAATAAAAGAGAGAATTACACTTTATACCCTAAAAAATTTAAATTTTAGAGTCTTTAAGACTAAATTTTTCATATTTTCCCTTTATGCATTAAAAATATTATAATGTAATAATTTTTTTAGTTTATGTTACTCATTCTATCAAAAGACAATATGGTGATTTTTGATAGAATAAGTAATAAAAACTAACAGAAGGATCATATTATAATATTTTTATACATTAAGGGTATAATATAAAAAATTAAATTTTTTAGGACGTAAAATAAAAAATTGTAAATCTTTTAGGATACAAAGTGAGATTTCTCCATTCTTTTTTAATTTACAAAGTCCTACCATAACAATGACAATTTACACTCCATTAAGTATACAAAAATTTAAACAAATCAAATGCACTTAAAAGAGGAATCTTAAATTCTAACCACGCCTAATTCCTTAGCACGTGCAAAGTTGTGGGTAGTCGGTTGGGCAACAGGCTGTCAATGTGATATCCAACCAAAAAAATATATGTGATTTTAATTAGTGGAATAAACTTTTGGGGTTCATTGATAATTTACAAGTTNTCGGTTGGGCAACAGGCTGTCAATGTGATATCCAACCAAAAAAATAATATGTGATTTTAATTAGTGGAATAAACTTTTGGGGTTCATTGATAATTTACAAGTTTGTTTGGGTTTAATTTCTAAAAAAGTAGAAGATAAGAACTAGGAACAAAATAAATAAAAGATAAATGAGAAAGGGGAGAAAAGTGTTCATTATAGGTGAAGGTGTTGTGTCATGCATTGGGGCACTTTAAAGTCAATTGAGTAATGTTGTTTGCAATCGAAATTAAGCAAACTTAGGCAACAAGTATCTTGGTCATTGTACAAGTGGTGTTGTCATCCCACTATCTAAAAGCTAAACAAATGTGTCATCTAAAGGCAAGAAAAAGAGATAATGTGGAAAAAAAGTGAAGTTTTGATAGATCAAAAATTAAAAGGTGATTTTAATTTGAATTGTTTATAGATTCGGATATAGTTTTTAGTAATTTTAATTGAAAATTTTTTAGGTACGAAGTAGTATCTAATATGTTTTTATTTTTAAATTTTTTTTTACATATAGTTTGATTTCGTTGTCTTAAATTTTTTATCGATGTTGGTTATTTTTTTTGTTAAATGTTAAATTACTTGTAGAGCTTGCTCTCTAGCCTATGTTTTGAGATAATTATTTTGGAATTGATTGATATANTTTTTTATCGATGTTGGTTATTTTTTTGTTAAATGTTAAATTACTTTTAGAGCTTGCTCTCTAGCCTATGTTTTGAGATAATTATTTTGGAATTGATTGATATATATATAAAATGCATGTGAGACATATTTTGTAAGGTGTAAATTGTGATCATACAGGATGTGATTATAATCTTATGAGGTGTGATTGATCAATATGAGTTTGAATTTATATTAAACTAGGAAAAATTCGTGTCTGAAAGTACGGTGCAATGTGAATGGTTTTGGAAGGGATATTGACGACCGTTTGATGAATCTATTTAGAGCAATGTTATTGGAACATAATTTGCTGACCTAATTTACTATGACATTTAGATTCACTGTATACCCCAGTAAACATTGGAATTTGGTGTTGATCTAATGATTCTTATGAAGCCATATTATTATGTCAGTAAATTAAATCAAATTTTTATATCCAAATAGTATTACTCATCTATTTGAGNACGACCGTTTGATGAATCTATTTAGAGCAATGTTATTGGAACATAATTTGCTGACCTAATTTACTATGACATTTAGATTCATTGTATACCCCAGTAAACATTGGAATTTGGTGTTGATCTAATGATTCTTATGAAGCCATATTATTATGTCAGTAAATTAAATCAAATTTTTATATCCAAATAGTATTACTCATCTATTTGAGACCGTCGAATGAACTTATTGAAACTTCCCTTATTTTATATTATATATAACACTTACCATGTCACCAAGATAAACTAGATATGAAAGTCGTGTGCGGTAATTGACTCAATTTTTTAGCATGTCATATCGGATTTTAGATGCTGCAAATTCCATGATTACCTATCAATTATTGCGTTTGGAGCAAATGCATAATTGAAATACATAAGAAATTGTAGATGAGCGAATTTTAATATAATTTTTATAATATTAAAATTAAAAAATTTATTAATATTTGGGGATCAAATTTATAATTATAAATTATATTGAAATAATTAAAATTTATGTAAATTTTTATTAAAATAATTAGAACTCGGACCATGTATTTGATACTATAGTCTACCATAAATCACATGATTCGCTTAAACACCTCAATGAATTGCGTTTCGATTGCAAATCTACAAATTGAGCGTAAATTCGGCGCAAATTCGCAAATTCAAAAAATTGAATCCACAAATTTAACCTTTGCCCAAAAAACTTTTTTTCATACCCAATTGAACTTGACCCAAAAAACAAGCCCATTTCTTTGCCAAAGTAGCTTACAATTGTGCTCTTGTACATGCCATTAAGCTTGCTTATATTCTTCCGATGTGGGACAATTGTGTTCTGACATTGCTTATATAGATTGCCAGGCCATTCAACATGCAAGACTTTATCGATGTGGGACATTTTCTTATTACTAATGTAAGGCTTTACTGTATTATGCCATTGTTTGTTACGATTTTGATATTCTCTATTTTAATGTGTATCACAATATTATATATATAAATTTGACACTGACGTTCTTGCTTTTCAATTAATTTTAAAATTTGTTACTCTTGCTTTCGCTCTCATTCTATGTGATCTAAAGTCTACCTTACCTGATACCTGGGTCAGAATTTGCAATAACCACTAGTCCTAATTAAAATTCATATTGTTCTATAAAATATTTTTCTAGGTAAGTAATTTTTTCAGTAAGTTGTAGTCCAACACTTATTTTTCTAGGTAAGTAATTTTTCAATATCATATTAAAAATATAAATTCTAACTATAAATTTTATTAAGTTTATTATAATCGATGACCTTAAAAATAATAAACTTAAAGTATAAGTACATTTAATGATTTGACCATTCCAACAATGTCACGCACCACCAAGCTTGTCTGTAGACCGATACGGTGCCGGCCCAACCATTAGGCCACTTATGTCATTGCCTAGCCCTCAAATTGAAAGAAAAATTTAGAACCCCAAAATAAAATAAATAATGATTATTTTAGAATATAATTTAAATATTTAATATATTTTAATTATTGAATTAATAGTGAGTATTAAGTTTAAACAAAATTCACTATTTTATCAAATATACTTAGTCCTCTAATTAAGTACAACTAGAATTATTGTAAAAATTTTAGAATCCTAAAAAAATTTAGGGCCCTAAAATTCAGTTTATTTTTTTATCTCACCCGATATTTATATTATATGTACGAATAATAATTTTATATTTGTGTACGTTAAATTTGAGGTTATTTTTTAATAACTTTGTTTATAATGCACAAAATGACTATAAAATAGAGTCTCAAGTAATACACTAGCTATTTTAAATTAATTAACTACAGTTGTCTTACTAAAATTTTTTATTTAAAAATTGCTCTTTCTCTCTATGATATCTAACAATATCCCATTTATTTTAGGGCTATTCAACTTGTATAAATTCCTATTTTTATATACATTTATAAAAAAATTATTTTACTAGTAAACCTAATTTTCAATTATGTTTCTCTTTTATTTTAAACAAATAGTATGTATTATTGTATTTGATCTCTGTATTTGAATTCAATTAACATACTTTTTATTTGTAAAAATTGAATTAAAAATTTGAATTAGTATGTTATATCTCAAAAGGCAAAACAAATAATTTGTAAATAAACATATTTTAATGAATATTTAATATTACTATTATTACTGAATAAATATTTATAGGGTCTTGTATTACATTTTCGCCTAAAGCCCCAAATTAGATTGGGCCGCCCCTGGACCGATATAATCGTTTAATACGCGAATATTTCTAAGTTTTATTTATTTTTTAAACTTAAATTTAAATGTTTGGTAAGAAAATTTTAATTTTTTTTTAATGCTATACTCAAACTCATACCAATTCAAAATTTTATTTAAATAAAAAAAGATTTAAACCTTTACTCAAATCATTAATGGTTAGATCATATTATCCTTTAAAAATTTAATGGTTATATTTTATGCTCCATTAAATTTGGGTTTATTCTTTTTTAAATTTGAGTTTTTCCATTGAAGTGTTTTATATTAAATCAAATTTTTTATTCAAATATTGCCTCAAATTTGAGTGAAGGTTGAAAATGTTCTACCCAAGTTAAAAAATAAGGTAAATATTATCATTGGTCCTTAAAGTTTATCTTTAATTTTTATTTGATCTTTGAACTTTTAATTATTATAATTTAGTTCCTTAATTATTAATTTTATCTCAATTAAGTTATTCCATCTATTTTCACCGTTAAATCAACTAGATTAGCCAATTTGATCAATTAAAGTGTTAAATCATATGTTTACGTTTTGTAGAAATGAATGAAAAAACTAAATTGAGATCAAATTGTTAATTGAGAAATTACATTAGGACAATTAAATATAATATCAATATTTACCTTGAAAAGTATAAGGATAAATTATATTTTATACCTTGAAAGATTTAAAAATTTTTAATTTATATTTTTAAAGATTAAATTTTTATATTACATCCTTAAAAATTAAATTTGTTACATTGAGAATGTGTTAAAAGTATTGTAATATGACTCTTTCAATAATTTATGCTACTCATTTTTGTCGACATTAATAAGATGAGTTTCGACGAAATAAGCAATGAAAATCAACAAAATGGTCATATTGTAATATTTTTAATATATTAGAGGTATAATATGAAAAATCTCATATTTGAGGGTGTAGAGCAAGAAAACGTATGTTGGTTTAGGTTAACATAGTCTGTCTATCGTTTGTGCTAGGGTTTTTCTCAATCAACTCTCTTGACAGCTCTCTGCTGCACGACTAGGGTTTTGAGTTTGCGTGTCGCAGAGGGTTTCTATTAGAAGGTAGAAGATGACGACCGTTGTTCTGACATTAGAAGAAGATCTTGCGCTCTCCGTTGTTCGATTCACGGCTGAGAAGTCATGGGCTGACGCTGGCGCCGANCGTTGTTCTGACATTAGAAGAAGATCTTGCGCTCTCCGTTGTTCGATTCACGGCTGAGAGTCATGGGCTGACGCTGGCGCCGACGTAACTCACAAACTCTTTACCCTTTTCTCGCATGGATATACATCAGTACCATCGAGGAAATCAAACTAACTATGTTATAAGAAAGATGAATCTGACAATGCGTTGAGAGTTTTGAAGCTTGAATTTTCTTACTTTTGTGTTTGAATTTCGAGTGTTTTGCTTCTAATTGGCCAATAAATCTGTTATACAGGGATTCGCGTGTATGATAGGTTAATTTGGCTATGATTTGTATAGTACAATGCCATCTTATTGAAATTTCATGTTTGCATGTGGGTTTCCTTGTCATTTTCAGGTAGTGGAGCCACAAGTAACTAGATTATGCCTGGAGGCGCAGGAATCCATTCTAGCAGGCAAATGGCTGGAATTGGCCTCACTAATGCTTACTTCAGCAGAATTGGTATTTTCTAAGGAGTCCGAAAAATGTAAAGCTATTGATATTATTTGTAACAAATTATCTTTTGTTTCAACTACATTTAAGGTGGATCTGTGTACTGGAGTGGTTGATGCACCATGGATACACTTAAGCAAGGGGCTGGGAAATTTTAATGAAGTTGTCTGGCCCAATTACTTGCTTATGTGGGGGTACGCGTTGGAGCATTCTTGAGTTTGCTTGGCGGTGTTGATTGGTCCCTCTAGGATGGTAGTAGTCCTAGTTTTTAGCCCATGGAATCTTTTTCTATATGCTGGGAGGTTATTCTAGCAGCTAAATTGGCCGAAATAATATTTATCCTAGAAAATAGGCCCAAATTGGATAATCCAAAAAAGAGGGGTTATAGTTGAGCAAAACAAAGGATGTTGAGTCAAGAGCACCTTAATTCCTATATAAAATGGTGGATGTAAGCGTCCGCAACAGATCGTGTCCTTCAAGTTGCACGTTGCTTTCTAGATAAAATACTGAAAAGCATTTCTATTGTGTACAATGAAAAAGAAGTGCTGAGTTTATTGTTAGTTGTAATCAGTATATTTTATTTGGCTGAAGAGTGGCTGCGGGATGTTATCTAATTAGCCAAATCAATGGCAGAGTTAATTGTTAGTGATGTGTTATATTGACAAATAATTCTGGCACGAAATGAATTAAAATTGACATTCAAGTTTTTTCTTATGTTGGATCTTAACCTTATCGCTTTTACTTTTGTTTAAACCCCAGATCTTGAGTGCATCTTTACTGTTATTTGCAATCTTGTCAAGAAACCTGAAAGTCTGGATGAAGCACATGAGATGGCAGAGCTTATATCCACAAAAATCGCCCAACAACCAAGCGATAAGCCTGCTCTGCGCTTGAAGATGTAATTTAGCTTGACAGTAATCACTTCAGTTTATTGAGTTATGGCGGTGTTGTCTCATATATTTCATTTTCCCCTTGCAGCCTGTTCAACCTCTACAATCTGTTGGAGAATCCATACAGCCGTTTCTTTGTTTACATGACGACCTTGAATTTGGCAGTCAATGGAAAGGTCACTGAAAATATGTACCTTCTTTCACAAAGATGGATAGTTTCTTGAGGGAATGGAATGTTGGGATCAAGGACCAGAGAGAACTCTTTCTTACTATCTCAAATGTTTTGACGGAAAATAAAAGGTAATATAGAAATCGTGGCTCATGAAGAAGCATTATTAATTCTCTTTGGTTGTGTGGCTTTTAAGTTTTTTTCTTTCTCATTGATTTTATGAATTAAGTTATCTAATTTGTCTGCATCATCCTATATTTCCAGCTCGGCAAAGGATGCTTTCAAATTTCTGACCAAGTATCTGGCAACTTTTTCTGGTGAAGATGCATATACAATGGGCGAAGCGAAGGAAGAAGCTGTACGCACTATTATTGAATTTGTTAAGGCACCTGACATGTTTCAGGTATTGTTTTGTCCTACTGATTTTAAATTGATCTTGCTTTTGCTTTTTTTTTAAGGATGAGACTTGGAGGGTGAGTTGTGTGGGGGAGGGAGGGCGAGGAGGGAGCGAGGGTTTTCACAAAGAGGGAGTGAATTGGTTTTGATCCATTAGCACACAAATTTAGGATTTGCTTTTGATACACATGTTTTGTATGGTGTATGTTCCCTTTATTCTTATTTTGGATATGTCTTTTAAAATTGTTTCATGCTTCCACATGTATTCTCTTGAAGTTGTAGGAAAGGCTAGTTGAGTTGAGTTGAGTTGAGCTGCCCAGATAATTATTCTGATGCTCATTTTCTATGAGTCACCCACCATTCATTATATATATGGTGCTTCTAAAAATACTGCTAATGTATCTCCAGCGTCATTTGCTATTGTTTGTCACTTTGGTGCGTTTTCTTCCTATAAGTATTGTTTGTAATACTCTTCGGACACTTGACTCACCCAAAAATGACTCTCAAACATTACGGTGTTATCTGAGTCCTTTTGTGTGCATCTTTTATAGTTCAACAATTACAGTGGGAAATGTTCTCCGTTTAAATGCACATTTTGTGCTTATTGAACTTTCATGGGTAATTGTTTTGAAAAGAAGAAATGTTGACAAGATGTTTATCCCTTTTTCTTGCTTCACCTTTTCCTCCCTCTGCTAGATTACATTATTGTGCAGTGTTATGCCTGACATGGATCCATTAATAACCTTCCCATTGGTATTTGGTAACCCAATAAGGCAATTTGAGCACTTTGTAGATAAGATGAATGTGATAGCTTGAACTCTTTTCATTTGTGAATATGCTTAGCTTCAATGCTACTGTATAGTGATCAATCAACTTGAGGCATGTCATAGCTTTTGTTTCTGATTTCTTGAAGTCCTTACACTGAGGCTGGTGGCATTACTTCTGAGCTTTTCCGTACGTCTTCAACTGATTGATTGTTCTATGGGCATCCTTATTATTTGCTGTATTGTGAACCATTGTTTTCATCACTTTCAAATTTCCTTGTTCTTATAGCTTGCTTTCAAACATGCAGTTTTATTTCAACCGGAACTTTCAAATATGCGTTGGCATTCATGTTGCTTTCAAATTAATGAAATTGTCTTGTTTCCTGTCAAAAAAATGTAACTGTGTAGTCTTTAATGAAGTTAAATTATGTTCCAGCTGGTGCTTAACTTAATCAACTCTCCACATGGTTGTGGCAGTGTGATTTGCTGGATATGCCCGCTGTGGCACAATTGGAAAAAGATGCTAAATATGCATTGGTATACCAACTTTTAAAGATCTTTCTGACTCAAAAGGCTGGATGCATATTTGGATTTCCAGGCGGCAAATTCTACTTTACTTAAAAGCTATGGTAAATATCTCCTTTTGCTGTTTTGCCATATAAATTTTAGGCTGCTATTTGGGTTAAGATTCAGATTTTGGATATATTTAATCTTTTAGACTGAAATGTGTTCTTTGGATGGCGTAGGTCTTGTCCATGAAGATTGTATAGCAAAGATGAGGTTGATGTCATTGGTGGATCTTGGCTCTGATGAATCAGGCCAAATTCCTTATGCTCTAATTAAGGACACTCTCCGGGTAATTTTGCTTTTCCTTACCCATATCAGCGGCTGTTGCTTTTTACTTCTTTGTTTATCACGTTGGCTTGGGATTCCTTGCAGATTAATGATGATGAGGTGGAGTCATGGGTAGTTAAGGCAATTGCAGCAAAGCTAATCGACTGTAAGATTGATCATATGAATCAAGTTGTAATTGTGAGGTGCACTATAAAGTTACCTATCTCTTTGGGTATTTGTGTTCTTTGTTTCTATATGCTATAATAAAGCTGTGGACATTATCATTTACTTGGTCTATTACTTGTTTTTTTCATTGTAGCCACTGTGTTGAGCGCGTGTTTGGTCTGCATCAGTGGCAAACTTTCCGAACAAAGTTAGCAACATGGAGGGTAAGGACTCCCTTCATTCTGTGTGTTTTTTAATCCACTTTTGGTCCCTTGCGTCTTGGTGAATCATCCAAATCTGTGTTTAAAAGTCAAATAATAATGTCCTTTGGCTAATCAACATTCAATAATTTCACTATGTTGACAAGACTATGATATTGACACTGAAAAAGAACTTCAAGCAATCTAAAAGAATAATTTTCAAAAGAAAGAGTGGAGTTTCCTTCCAAATAAAGACACTGCAAGTCTTCTATGGCCTGCATTTGCTGGTGTTTTCCTAGGGACCTTCCACGAAAAGCTAGTATATGCCAACTATTTTTTATTTTTGGTGGAACTATTCTTTTGACGATTACCTTTTCCAGGCTAACATGTCAAATGTAATTAGTACCATTCAAGCTAACAAGGTGACTGAAGATGGGACTGGGGCAATGTAAGGTTTGTCGATACACTAAGATTTTTCCTCCATTTGCCGTTTAGTACCGTAATCATCTTTATTTAATCTTGGAGGTTGAGAGAAGTTCGTAGCTGTTTTGGTTTTGCCTGAAATGTTACATGGGCTGGTTTATGAGTAACAGAACCATGATTGTTCTTTACCCTCTTTTTTTTATTCACTTCCAATTGTACGTTTCTTGTAAGTACCATAACTAAGTCCGTAGTAGATTATCTTTCTCCGAAAAACTCTTCTAGAATTAGGAGGTACAAATAAAATTACTTGAAATTTTGTTTTATTTGCTTTGATGATTTTAAGACTTTTTTGTTGTTAGGTACAAATATTAAAGAAAAATATAACAAAGTATGGAGGAAAATGGTGTTTCGGTCAATCACTCTCTCTCTCTCTCCCCACCATCACCAAAAAAAAAAAACCACAAAACCAGATCTTCTTCTCACCGTATATATAGACAGGAATATATAGTTATACACATGTTTGATGAATGACTTGTGGACATTTGAGAGTAAAAGGTTAGCCTAGTGGCAGTTTAATCACCTAATAAATTTGTCATGAGGGATAGATTAGGGGTTTGACTATTTCACGAAGTGTGGTTCTTGGGGCTGCGGCCTGTCTTACAAAATTTTTTTTTAGTAATTTTCAAAATTTACATATTGGCAATTTGGGTCTTGGGTAGGTAACAGAGCTCTCATAATATAGCCATTATCAATTTTGTCCTCATCCGAAGTGGTGCAAGCTCTCATAGTAGACATTGGCCATTCATTTCTCATCCACATTTTAGTACTTGAGCTTGTGATCTATATCATATCATTCTCGTGCCAAACATTAAACTTTGACCGGAGGATTTCACACGACAGTTCAAACTCCCTTATTGAGCACTTTATGGTATCTTGCCTGGTGACCGGAACAAAGTAGCTCAATAGGAGAAAGAAGGCATTGGGGCAAAGAAATAATTTTGGTATTGTATGTCTAACTTTTACTAATGTAATGGGTGTTTTTATAATTTTTTGTGGGTCATTTTATAACTAAAAAATTTATCATTTTTGTAGTAATTATTTTTATCACTTTTCTTTCATACAAAAAAATTTATTACATTTGTGGGTGTTTTTACTATATTTGTGGGTTTTTTTTTTTATCACATTTGTAAATATTTTTTTTGCAATAGTAATCAAATCCCTTGGATTTATTAACCTTTGAGAGAACAACCAGTACGATAGAGTCTCGAGAATGTTAGTGAGACGTAATTTCTTGATCTATTTTACTGATTTAATTCACTATAATCATTGAGTTAACTGTAGATCTCATTAAATATTAGAACTTGGTGTTAATCTAACGGTTAAAATGAAGTCACGTTATTAGGGTAACAAATTAAGTCAAAATTTTTAAATCTCAATAACATTATTCTTAAATTAACTTTTGNTTTTATTACATTTGTAAATATTTTTTTTGCAATAGTAATCAAATCCCTTGGATTTATTAACCTCTGAGAGAACAACCAGTACGATAGAGTCTCGAGAATGTTAGTGAGACGTAATTTCTTGATCTATTTTACTGATTTAATTCACTATAATCATTGAGTTAACTGTAGATCTCATTAAATATTAGAACTTGGTGTTAATCTAACGGTTAAAATGAAGTCACGTTATTAGGATAACAAATTAAGTCAAAATTTTTAAATCTCAATAACATTATTCTTAAATTAACTTTTGAGTTGAACTCAATTAGTAATACTATTGTCATTTAGAAAATTAACCTAATTTGTTGACCAATAATGTGATAATGACGTAGTTTAATAATGTTATTGTGACCAAAACTTTTAAATTTTATTTTTGAAACTCTACGACGAATACATCATTATATCAATAAATTATATTAATTTTTTAAGTCTAAATAATATTTCTCAAATTCAATAGAAATTGTCTAAAAGTGGCTCACTTGAACTCCCATTAAAATATCATGGACTCTCTAAAATTTATCATTTAATCTCTCAGATCTCCTAAAATTTAAAATATTACATATAAATCCCCTGATTTATATGCGCGTAACATTTAAACTCTTGTTGTCTATTAATATATTTGTTAGTAAATTACACATATACTTTCTAAAATTTGTAGGTGTATAATATTTAGATCCCTCAAATTTAAAATGTTATACTTATACCAAAAATATTTCAATTAAAGATAAAATATTAAATATTTTAAATTTTATAACCAAAATTCATGTTCTACTGTATTATTTACTGAAATAAAATTAAAAATAAAAAGTCAATTTTTAAAAAAAATCGTAATTAGTATATAATTATATTATCTATTGGAATAAAATTAAAAAATCAAACAAGAGGTCTAAGTCATTCATAATAGGACAAAAAAAATTATGTTATATTATGTCATTTATAAAAATAAAAATTTAATTTTTTCTTAAAAAATCGTATTTAGTGTACAATTATATTATCTACTAGAATAAAACTAAAAAATAAAATAGGAGTCAATCTGTAATGAAAGCAATATATTCTAACTTTAATTGGGGTAGTCTGATAATTTAATTTGGACGTTTAAATGACCAAATTAAATTTTAATAGATAGTATAATTATATAGTAATTATGATTTTTTATGAAAAAAATTGATTTTTATTTTTAATCTTATTTTAATAAGTGTCATAATAGAATAAAAATTTTGGTTATAAATTTAAAATATTTGATATTCTATCTTTGATTGAAGTTTTTTTAGTTTAATTATAACTTTTTAAAATTGAGGGGTCTAAATATTACATATCTACAAACTTCAGTGAGTGTTGTTGTAATTTACTAACAGATACACTAGACAACATGGATTTAAGTGTTATTCGCGTATAAACTTTGAAGGGTCTGTATATAATATCACTAATGTTATTAGGACATAATTTAGGAATATAATTAGTTGTCACCAATGAAATGATAGTAAAATATATTTAATGATAGATCTTATTGTAGCATTAATGAATTTATTATCATATTATTAGTGATAATTCATTATGTCTTTAAATTATGTTTATAAATTATATTTTAATAACATTACTCGTATAATATTTTAAATATTAAAAAATTTGAGTGATTAGGCAATAAATATAGTGAGCCCTAGTGTAATTCTCCCAAATATCATTGATGAATTGGAAAAGTAGGCCTTGGGGAGAGAAGTACGAAGCTGACTTGAGAACGCGTTATAGCCGCCCAGGAATCAATCCAAAACCAAAGACTTCCAAGTTCACGCCGTCTTCTACCCGTGCTACCTGTACTTTTCTTCTATACATAACCTCTACTTCTTCATCACCATTACCCTTCAGCTTCATCATCGATCACCAGACTCACCACCATCATACACCATATCTTTCAAAGCTCATACCTCCCATGTACACCATAACTCTACACATCTCCTTCTTTCTCTATCTCCTCTTCTCCATCACCACTGCCGCCGCTGCCATCAGCGACACAGCCAACGCGCCACCTTACAGTCCAAGCGACTACTTTCTCCTCAACTGTGGTTTATCTTCTAGTTCTAACGATGCCGACGGCCGAACCTGGGAGGGAGATGCCCGCTCCAAATTCTCGCCGTCAAACATTTCAATAACTTCTTTGGAATATAAAGCATCCGAGCAAAAAACTTCTGTCAATCAAGTCCCCTACATGACTGCTCGGATCTTTCGCTCTGAATTCACCTACACCTTCCCCATCACCGTCGGACCAAAATTCATTCGTCTCTATTTCTACCCAGTTAATTACTCTGACCTCGACATAGCCAACTCTTTCTTCTCTGTCACCTCCGGCGGCTACACCCTCTTAAGCAACTTCAGTGCCTTTCTCACTGTCTCTGCCATGAAACCCGCAGTTGCTTCCCTAAGAAAGGAATTCATCGTCAACGTTAGGAACAACCAGAAACTGAACATAACCTTTTCGCCGTCTCCAAACTCTTACGCCTTCGTTAATGGCATTGAAGTCGTTTCAATTCCGGAAAATCTCTACATTCGCGGCAGTGATTATCAAATCCCACTAGTCCCGAACCAAATATCATTCAATATTGATAACACCTCTGCTCTTGAGACTCTCTATCGATTAAATGTTGGCGGTAATGAGGTCTCAATAACCGATGATACCGGAATGTTTCGTTTATGGCTTTCGGACGATGCTTACACCTACGCAGCTTATGGGTTTACACCTCACAGGGAAGTCCCAATCCAGTATACAAAGGACACACCACCTTACACTGCACCGAAGATCGTTTACACAACCACAAGGACCATGGGCAACCAAAGTCTAACATACAATCTGACATGGAGATTTCCTGTTGATTCTGGGTTTTATTATCTTCTCAGACTCCATTTCTGCGAGATTCAATTGGAGGTGACCTTGGAGAACCAAAGGGTTTTTATAATATACATCAACAATCAAACGGCACAGAGAGGAGCAGATGTTATCCAGTGGAGTGGTGGCACTGGAATCCCGGTGTTCAAAGACTACGTCATCATGGTCACCGACCCAGATGGTCGCCGGAGCAAGCAAGACTTGTGGCTCGCTATGTACCCTGAGCTCGACTTTAAACCTCAGTACGCTGATGCTATATTGAATGGTTTAGAAATCTTCAAATTGAGTGGAACAGACGACAGTCTCGCCGGGGCAAACCCTGAACTTGTACTCAGTCCACCGCCAGGACCATTCCCATTGTCACCGCAGAAGAAGAACAATAAAAAAACATCTACTTTGCCGGTTATTATCGGTAGCGTAGTCGGAGGAGGGTCTGTTCTGGTCTTTATCTTAGGTTTCTTGATTGTCCGACGACGGAGGAGAGTGAAAGACTTGGGCTCAACACAGCCCAAGTCGTCGTGGGTCCCCTTATCTGACGGTTCAAAGTCCACAAAAACCAGCGGTTCATCACTACCGTCTGATCTATGTAGACGCTTTTCACTTGAGGAGATCACATCAGCTACATGCAACTTCGATGACAATTTTGTCATCGGGGCAGGGGGATTTGGTAACGTGTATAAGGGCCACATCGACAACGGTGCAACCACTGTTGCGATCAAACGATTGAACCCATCATCAAATCAAGGGATCCGCGAGTTCCAAACAGAGATCGGTATGCTATCAAAGTTACGCCACCTCCATTTGGTGTCGTTGATCGGTTATTGCAATGACAACCGTGAGATGATTTTGGTGTATGATTATATGGCCCATGGAACCCTTCGTGATCATCTTTACAAATCGAAGAAACAACACCTTCCGTGGAAGCAACGCCTTCAGATTTGCATTGGTGCAGCAAGGGGACTGCATTATCTCCACACAGGTGCAACACGCACAATCATTCACCGTGATGTGAAATCCACCAACATTTTATTGGATGAGAAATGGGTAGCTAAGGTCTCTGATTTCGGGTTATCCAAATTGGGTCCCAAGGATGTGGGTCATAGCCATGTCAGTACAGTGGTGAAGGGTAGTTTCGGGTATATTGATCCAGAATATTATAAACGACAACAATTGACAGAAAAATCTGATGTGTACTCATNTATGTTGATCCAGAATATTATAAACGACAACAATTGACAGAAAAATCTGATGTGTACTCATNCATATTGATCCAGAATATTATAAACGACAACAATTGACAGAAAAATATGATGTGTACTCATTTGGGGTTGTTTTATTTGAGGTTTTGTGTGGTAGACCAGCTGTAATTCCAAAATTTCCCAAGGAGCACATGAGTTTGGCTGAGTGGGCCCGAAATTCTTATAGAAAAGGGACCCTTGATCGGATTATTGATACTAATCTAAAGGGTGAGATTGCGCCAGAGTGTTTGAGGAAGTTTGGCGAAGTAGGTGAAAGTTGCTTGCGTGATAATGGGATCGATCGTCCAGGAATGAATGATGTTGTGTGGGNCTAGACCAGCTATAATTCCAAATTTTCCCAAGGAGCAAGTGAGTTTGGCTGAGTGGGCCCGAAATTCTTATAGAAAAGGGACCCTTGATCGGATTATTGATACTAATCTAAAGGGTGAGATTGCGCCAGAGTGTTTGAGGAAGTTTGGCGAAGTAGGTGAAAGTTGCTTGCGTGATAATGGGATCGATCGTCCAGGAATGAATGATGTTGTGTGGGGCCTTGAATTTGCTCTGCAACTTCAAGAGGCTGCTGAGAAGATGGCTCACGGTGGTGGTTGGTTGCTCCCGGCGGCGTTGGCCAGTCCCTCTGTTCCTCTTCTACATGGAGAGGCAACGACCACCGATGATGATGAAGTATTTACTGCGTCAGTCGAAAACATGTCAAGATCAACGGTCAGCAGTGAGAGATTGAAGTCGGAGACTGTGTTCTCCGAGATCTTGAATCCCGTTGGACGTTGAGAAAGTGAATGCTCTTCGGGTGGGTCCTCCGTGGGGTCCAGATTTTTGGCCTTCACGGTGACCGACTTGGGCAAGGTGAAGTAGCTTATTATAGTCTTCTAGTTTAGTTTATTATCAGCATGTGATGAGGAGACCCTACTTGAAAAGAATCTGGGTCCCGCGATTGGAATGGAGAATATTACTTTTATGAAAAATATTAAGACCATTGTAAATAGGACAAAAGAATAAATGCAGTTTTTAATTTTTGTCAATTAGCTAAATGTTGTGTTTAATAACTAACTGATGATGCCAGAAGAAAATATACTGTGCATTCAGTTTAGGTTGGCTACCTTGGTCCCTGATAAAAAAAAAAAAAAATTTTAAATAAGTTTATTTGAACAACTTAAAATTTAAATAAAAATCAAACTCACACCTCTAAATTAGTGGGATCAAGTTTAAACGCGTTTTCTTCTGTGATAAGATAAACATCATATATTTATTTGTTTAAAATCATAAAATATTGAATGCAAAATTATGTCTTAATGTGACCTATCCGAACGCAAATTGTAATTAAATTCTCAAACTAAATTTAAAATCTAAACAAAATTTTAAATTTTTTGTCGGTTGCTTTCAATTTGGCGCCGAAATTGGGTATGTTCATTCCAAAATTCCAGAAGTGTCTTTTGCTTGTTTAGTTTGAAAGAGTGTGTCTCTTGAATCTCGAACAGTAGAATTCCATGCATCTTCAGGCAATCTGAACAGTCACTAAGAGTCTAGAAATAGATTACTTTCAAACCATTTTCAATATATCCCAATTTTGAATTCAGTATTCAGAGTTTCTTTTCTCTCGCTCTATATATTGTTGCATTAGTTTTTCTTGTTCAGTTTAAGTATATACATAGAATTGTGTTAATTGAAATCTTGAAGATTGAAGTGCATATTTTAAAGAACAAAATCCGTTCTATTTTAAGAGACAGTTACTTATCAACTTTCAGCACCTAGAGTAAGCAAATCTATCTCAAAGAAACTATAATTACACAGAACTTGAATTATCTTTAATTTTTTGGATTATTTCTATACTTGATATTCTACGTCACTATAAGAGCATTGTTTTAGTTTCTAGTTATCAACATTCTATTTTTATTAAATAGTTATAACAATATACTTAATAGATTTAGATTTTACTATTAGTGGTTAATTCCAAATATATACATATTTTGAATAACAGTCACTATGAGCCAACCTGAACTTAAACAGTCCAGGTATGTCATGAATGCTTTGATGACAACTAATAGCTTGAGAATCACCAGGAAAAGGTAAAAGAGGACTCTCACCCACAAAGCCTATTTTGGACAAGAAGTCACCCCATTTAGAAAATCACATATCTTTTCTAAAAGGCCATGTCACATCTAGGAGGAAATCTTCTAATAGCCAAATATTATTTGACAAGTTTGTTAGGATTACACCATAATTTTGTAGAAAAGGCATGCATATATATTGCCTTGGGCCCTAACTCATAACCAAGAAACCCTAGTTAGTAACCTTGTTCTTCCTTAAACAATACACTGTTAAGGAATAAGAATTTCTATTACAGTGAGCTAACTCAACTCTTCAGATGGGTGAACCACTTAATTTCTTCTACGTTCTTACTCACTTTGCATTACACGGCTAACACATCTCATCAAGAACTCATTCAACTCTTCTCTCTCAACTTCTCGATTTTTACACCATCAAGTACCATGGAATTCATAGCTTAGGTAGAAGTAGAGCTCGAGCTTAACCCAATATGAGTTTTCAAGTATATATTAGTGTCGAAATCAAGCCCAACTTTTTAGCAAAAAAAATTAAGAACTAACTGTAGAACTTAGTAATTAATCCTCATGTTATTTTAAACATCTTTCAAAATATATTTAATCAACCACAAAGTTTAATTCTTCAAAAAATCTATTACAAAAGATAGAAAGAAAGAGAATGCATATAACCTGGAGTTATTTGTGGATAGTTTTGGGGTTGTCCACATTTCGAATAGAGTTTGCTTGGTAGTAAAATAAGAATTATTTATAGATAAGCAACCTATNGAGTTATTTGTGGATAGTTTTGGGGTTGTCCACATTTCGAATAGAGTTTGCTTGGTAGTAAAATAAGAATTATTTATAGATAAGCAACCTATTTGAGTTGAGCTGATTTTTTTTGAGATACACGTTACTCAAATTCAATTTATTTTTAAAAGGAGTTCAAAATTTTAATTTATTTTAATGATATTAATAAGTTAAAAGTGGGACAGACTTGAACTACTCAAATCATTTAACAAAGCCTAGCTAAAGCAAAACCTACGTCAAACACGTATTGGGTTAAAGACCATAGTAGCCTAACCATATTTTTTTTTCTTTCTCCTTATAGAATGTTATAACCCGAAATTATCCAATATCCGCTCACTTTAACTCATATATTTTTCGTCAATTTTTTGAATCATAAACCGTTAATTATGAATTTAAGTGGCATTCAACATATATAAATTAATCAATCCAAAGATTTCTAAGTCCACGCAGTGTTCTACAATTACCTTTCTTCCCTTTGAGCTCTCACCACTCATCACTCACCACCATCATACTCTTTGTCCATCAAACATCAAACCATGCTAACCTCTAATACTATTTGGGTCCAATCATATTTTTTATTCTATTTCGTTAAATATAGTAACTGTTCAAAATTGTCGGAATTCACTCATTTAAATCGTATTTGGATTCTCATAGTTTTTTTCAATTTCTATTAATTGTAGATCACCTTTCATAAATTTAAAGGCGAATCACATTGATGGTGTGGTTTACACGATTGAGTTTGGGATTCAGAAAAAAGCAAATGGACTTGAGATTCGTTAAGAACGATCATGGGGATTCATTGGGACATCCAGTTAGAGCTATTAGGCTCATAGTGTTGAACAGTTAATCACAGAAACAATAACAATCAGTGAAAATTGATAGATATGAGATTTATAGTGGTTCACCAACTTAGAAGTTTAGTTAATACACTCTAATAGGGTATTTTGCTCCTGAGAGAGTTTGTTATTATTTGAAGAAGATTACAAAGTTTTTGCAGAAAGTAAACTCTTAGGCCTGGCTACAAAACGTGGGATTGATCCCTATTTATAGCGTTCTCCACGTGATTTCTGTGTAATCATCATAATCCTTGTGTAGCGATTGTGATCGTAATACCCTTGGGGTCGTTGCAACTCATAAGGTGGGATCTTTGGCTAAAAGAAGCAATATTCCTGGGTGAATGTGATCTTCCAGAAAGTGTGAGATGTTGTTGTCGTAGTGTGCATGGGGTCACGTCAGCAATGGTTATCGACCTGGAAGACTTGAGATGAGATTTGAACTCGAAGATCCGACCTAGGGTTGAGATGTCTGAGTTGGATTGCCCGAGTTTGGCATCGTCATGTGGGGCCCCTATTAGGGGTAAGTTCCTGATCTACTTCTAGTCCGATCTTAGATTTAACTAATTTTTGGTATCATCATACATAATACAAATGAATCTTATAGGGACGAATCTAGAATGGGACAGTTGTCCCTACTACAATTTAAAAAAAAATTAGGATCTATTTGAAAATTTTACGTCACTACGAGTAGGGATGATAGTGGACCGGAAAAAAATGGGTATTCGTTCAAACCCCTCCCCCGGTTTGGACCGGGAATGGACTATACGTATTGGACGGTGGACGTATACGGGAATATCCGTATAAACCCGTGTGGGAATGAAGGTGAGGATGGACTTACCCTACCCCTGCCCCATCCCNGGGTAAAATCATGTATAGGTCATTATATTGATCAATTACTTCTTCATTACATTATGTATTTTTTTATAAATTAAAGAGGACTTCACCGGATGAAATTTCGTGACATAGGTGTGTTTATAAATTTTTATTAGAAGTTTTAAAACCATAAATACCTTTTACATTGGGCTTTTATCATCCTTTACTTGCATTCCATGTGTGATGTCACTAATGGATGTCATAATTTCAGAACACATAAATGACATATATGTGGGTTCCCTTCTTTCTGTCATTTTAGCAAATATTTTTGGAACATTATGCAGGTCGTAGCCTTGTTGAAACATACCACGTCAATTTCTATGGAATTGTAACTAATTATCTTTCAGAATAATTTCCCTTGTTTCAACATAATTGAGTGGAAAGAAAAGAAGGCACACTTTTAATATTGTTAAATCTTCTATTCCGATCATAGCAAAAAAAAATTAAGCTATCTTAATTCTCANAATTATCTTTCAGAATAATTTCCCTTGTTTCAACATAATTGAGTGGAAAGAAAAGAAGGCACACTTTTAATATTGTTAAATCTTCTATTCCGATCATAGCAAAAAAAAATTAAGCTATCTTAATTCTCATGACTTTACTTGTGCTTGGACGGGTACGGGGGAAGCGGGAACGGGGATTATAAATTTACCCGTGGATAGGGATGAAGATGAAAATTATATCCGTTAGCAGGGGTGGATCGGGGATGGACGAAAATTTTTTAAACGGGTACGGAGATGAAGATTATACCCCGGCCCCCACTTCGGTTCATCGACATCCCTAACTACGAGTTTGTTAATGGCCATTGATTTCTCATCCATATTTTAATACTTGAGCCGTGCGATCTATCTTATATCATTTTCATAGTGCCGTGCCAAACATTAAACTTAGACTGGAGGATTTCACACGACAGTGCAAACTCCCTTATCGACCACTAATGGTATCTTGCCAGGTGACCGAATCAGAGTAGCTGAATAGGAGAAAGAAGCCATAGGGGCATCCCTCTATTTCTCTTTTTCTTTATCTTAGATTTGTATTTGACTACGGTACAGAAGAAATAATTTTGGTATTGTTCGTAAAACTTTTACCACTATAATGAGTATTTTTATAAATTTTGTAGATTATTTTACCATTTTAATGAATATTTTTATAATTTTTGTGGGTTGTTATACAACTAAAAAATTTATTATTTTTGTAGGTAATTTATCACTTT